ACACTAGAGCTATCTGGGATTAAGTTTGATTTTGTCAAGTTTTGCAAACTTTTAAGCAATCATGGTGATTATATAGGAGGGATATATGGGAAAGCGTGGGTATATAGAGGTTTAGTGACTTTTCAGCCTAGTTATAGCTATATCCTTGAATTTCATTCTCTTTCTTTTTTATCTCTAAGCAATTAGCATAGTGACATAATCAAACCATTTTAGTAGTTTCATCCATTTGCTTATTGTCTGCATATTATATAAAATTATTCTTAGTAATTTCTAACCTAGGCATGTGCTTCACAGTTAATCAGAAAATTACAGAAAGAAAGAAATAACTACAGGCAAAGAATTTCAACATATGACAACAAACTGAGTGTAAGTGATAACCCCCTCTTCAGTTTTAAAAATCTACCATCTAGCCACATGATCCTTCCTCTTTGTCTTTCAGAATGCTCACTATTGTAAAGCAAATGGGTTTTTTTCTGATTATAAAACAAAGCAAAAGCTTAGGAAAACAATCTAAAGGGGAAATAAATAAAAGCTATTTATTATTTGTCCAATCATAGATAAGAACAATAAATATTTTACAATATCTAAAGAGATATTATATGTCTATCTATATAGGTATGTGCGTATTCATGTGTGCACATGCATTCGTGTGTGTGTGTGTGTGTGTGCGTGCGTGTGTGTTGGGTGAGACTCAAAAGATGGCTCAGCAGGTAAGAGCAGTCATGTGAGTCACAGCCACAGCCACATCAAGTGGATCTGAAGACTCTCTAATCTGTACCTGTTCTCTCTCTCTCTCTCTCTCTCTCTCTCTCTCTCTCTCTCTCTCTCTCTCTCTCTCTCTCTCTCTCTCTCTCTCCCTCGCTCCCCCCTCTCTCTTGCACACACACACAAATAAATACAAATATTTTTAAAACAAGAGGTAGTATTCCTTGATGAAACTGAATTAGCGGAAGGAGACGCTGAAAGAACGGAAGAACTGAGGACTGGTGGGCATGCTGTAGGATGCTGTCTTCAGGGAGTGACGTGACTATTGCATTCATGAACTCACGGAAGCTGTGGTCACCTGCACAAGACCTATGCAAGCTCTAGCCAGTCACAGTTCCAGGATGGACCAGGGAGCGGCTCATGAGCTGACGAGTTATTGGCAGTTAATGGGTACTGGGAAAGCAGTCATTTTTCTACGGTTGTGTGGCCAATTTTAGGTTACCAAGTGCGCTCGCAGATGGCACCACAACTGTGTGCTTATGGTCAGCACTAATTGGGCTTGGTGGGATATAAAGAAATCAAATAAGATAAATAAGATGTAATGGAGGGAGTCTAGGAGGGACTGGAAGAAAAGTATGGTGATATGACCAAGGTACTTTTTATACATGTAAGAACAAATAAAATACCATCAAAACAAAATAAAACAGTGATTATGCTCAACATAATCTAAAACAAACATCAGGATAAATTATTAAATTGCTTTGGATTGAGTCTAATACATGATAATAGAAACGACAGAATATATCTACCTTTTAAAAAATCCCATGCTCTCTTAGAAAAGCTCTTCCTAAGTCGCCATCTTCACTGGGACAGGAAATAACACTCCATTGTCAGTTCTGCTTTGGCGTTAGATGATGCAGACTGTGTCATATTTTTATTTCCAGCAAGCTTTCACTACATTTGCATCCTGTTTGCTTAGGACCAGCATCCTTTGGCTTTGCAGATAGTACAGACAACATGTCATCACCCTCAGCCCATGCTTTGTCCCAGCTTCACCCCTGTTGTCTCCTAGTGGACAGACTTGGGTGCGCCAAGGAAAAGTGTGACTGCATGATGGTCGGCTGGATGAGTTAATGACCATTTTAACTAGGCTTTTGAGCAATGGAACCCAGCAAAAACTGGAGAGGACAGCGATGATAAAGACAACAACGATGGTATTAGAAGTACAGGGCGGTGTCTGGACAGTTAAATTGTTATACAAACTATCGAAACCAAGATGTGAAATTATACGTATGTATGTTTGTATTTATACATATATATTTAATTGTATATATATATTTATATACATATTACAATTGGAATTTTATTTCCACCTGAACTTCTCATTTACTATTCTGCTGAAAGTTACAGAATGCTTTAGCCCTTGAAAATTCAGATGATGGTCCATGTGTATTTGTGTTCTGGAGCTTCGTTTCAGGAGGAGAATAGACTTCTCTGTGGTGAGACTGGTCCTGGAAATATGGATATTCAGTTAGCATATGTATTGCTTCTTTGGGGAGGCCAGCAGAGCGTGGTTGAGGACTCCCCGGAATTCCCTGCACGGTGTACATGCAGCTGAGGCGGTGGAAAGTCTCCTTTCCCCAGCAACGACTATTGCTTACACAACCAGAGGGAAGGGCCTATGACTTTCTCAACTCTCTGAGCTTTGCGTGTGTGAGTCTTCCTAGCTTCCTGAGCCTCGTCATCTTATTTACTTCTCTACTGATGTGAAGAGATAGCATGATTAAGGCAACCTGGAAAAGAAAGTGGTTAAACCAGGGCCTTGCTTATAGTTAGTTCCAGAAGGTGGGTCCATGATCACCATGATTGGAAGCACAGCAGCAGGCAGGCAGCTAGATGCTAGAGAAGTAGCTGGGAGGGAGGGATGGAGGAATGGAGGAAGAGATGGAGGGAGGAAGGGGGGAGGGAGAAGAACTGTGGAATTGTGTAGGATTTTGAAACCTCTTAGCCCACCTCCAATGACATACCACCTCCAACAAGGCCAAAACCAAACAATTCTACCAACTGTGGACCAAGCATTCTAATACATTATCCTATGGGAGACATTCTCATTAAAACCCCATGCTTTCTAACTTTCCTTCTCCCTCTAGGATGGCTTATTTCAATCCACAGGGAATAACTGAACAGCACCGAAGCTGGAACAACTACTAAGTAGCCTCTGCTTCTGGAGAAAGACAGCATTAAAATATAGCTTCATAACTAAAATTTGCATGCATCCACGATCAACGTACAATCTGTGTGCAGGCTTTCCAAAGCTATAGTAAAATTGGGGCAGGGGTGCAGAGCAGGGTGGGCTAGAAACAATGAAATGCTAAGCCCTGCCTTCCAGTGGTTCCTCAGAACTCATGTCTTTGAATATTCCTGAAGGTACAAGCCTTATTGCAAACGACCCAGGCTGATCCAACCTCATGGCTCCAAAGCTAATTAGCCAGACAGTCTCTTGGCCCAAGTGAAAGTAAAATGCTGGTCAGTTCAGAAAGATGAATATTGTGGCAAAATCACTCAGTTAAAGTAGCTGTCATTACTTGTCAATACCCCTCTTGCCACGAGGTAATGGTGGAAAAATGGCTACAGTTTGATATATTTCTGGAAAAAAGACATCCATTCATTTGGATTGCTCATGATTCATTTGTTTTGGAAAAGGTCAGAATACCAAGACTGTTTAAAAATTCACTTCAGCCCAAACTCAATTTTTCACATTAAATTTAAGATCTTATATTTTCAAATATTTTAAGCTATTTAATTTTAATTTAATTCTAGCTCACTGTTATGCATAATGCATTTTACATGTTAATTCACTATTTGGAAACAAAGCCTTTTAGAAGACTATTAATGTTTTTATGGTCATGGTTACTATTTACATACTCTGTTTCATTTCTGAAAACATAGATTTGAATAACTGCTTGGAATCACTAATAGAAAAAGGCTAGATTCTGTTCCCTTCTTGTTACACTAGGGCATGCATGGCCATGCCAGAAATTATCTTCCAGAAACTGGGTTTGAACCACAAAATTTTGTTTAAATACAATTTTTAGCTTTTACTGTGGGAAAATGAGATATAGAGTTTATGATGACTTATTTCACAGCTGAGGAATGAACTACAAGTGCCAATGACTGGAAATAATTAGTCACCCTTTGAATAATGCTTTGATTTATGTTTGGGGGGTTTGTGTCCATAGTAAAGGTTATGCTGAAATTTCCCCTCAACATGTATAACTTTGCTTGTCAAACCCATTAATATTTTCTGGTTCTTTTGTTTAGATATTCAGTAACGGCTTTGTGCCAGGAAGTGACAGCAGTGAGAATAATATTTTTATTCAGTCGTTTCATAAATAATCCTGAGGTACCCATTATGTGTCAAGCATAGTTCTATAATACTGAGAAATATCAGTTAAAATTTATGACATTCTAGTCTTCAAAGTATTTACATTCCATCTAGTAGAACAAGGGAGAATTAAATAGAAGATAAACATAATAAATATTATACATTCTTTTAAAAAGAAAAAATGTGTTACTTGAAAAGGGGGGGCAAGGTAGGATTTCTGTGTAACATGGTAGACTAAGACCTACCTTACCTCCATACAACCTAGTGAAGGAGAAAAATCAGAAATTAAGAACAACCTTTATCCTCAGGAGAGAAACTGAGCAAGGGTTTCAGAAACTCACAAGGGCAGTTACAGGATCCAAAAACTGGATGGACAGATGCAAGACAGACAATCCACAGTCAAACTTCAGCTTCTTATGTGTAATGCCCTAGTCAGGGAGAAGCAAAAGACTCCCACAGAAGGTAGGCCAGATGGTCCTGGCACAAAGACATTGCTATCCTACCCACAGACCTCATAGCCCTCATAAGAAACTGCGGGGTTTGGTGAGGCAGTGATTTTTCCCAGTCGATGGTTAGAAGTGGAGCAGAATAATTCCTGTCACTCTACGATGCTGATGGCTTGGACAGGTGCTATCTTAGAGGGAACTTATTGTTTGAGAAAAAAATGATTCTGGGAGGCCAAGAAAGAGGAAAGGCCACAAGACAAAGAGCCTGAATTCACTCTGCCTTAAACCCGTGCTGAGAGATAGCCCTGAAAAGCAAGTATTGGGGGTGTTGCTGCTGATAAGCTTGGAAGTACAGTTGGCAGGAGGCTTCTCTTAGGCAGTAAAGTGCATAAAGACAGGTATGCATGTCCTACATCTCTGAGAGCAGATCTCACCAACGGAGGATAACCCTAAACTTGACTAACCTGAGTCCAACTCGGAGAGTGTATAAACCTCTGGAACTTTTCATTTGCTGCCCACTGGTGCAGAACCCGCAAACTCAGAAGTTCCAGCTGTAGAGTTGGTATCCACAGATGCATCCCTCTGGCAGGTCTACACCTAGTTCTTAAAATTACAGATACATGTGAGCTTAGACGAAATACAGTGATGTAGAAATACTACTAACTGGGTAACAAAAATGAAGTTGGTGGGGACACAGCGACAGTTTTTTTAGAACCCCATTTAGGAACATTTTTACTTCATTGTATTTTAAAACTGTTTTTATCCTTATACCCATTTATACATTCATCCAATTTCATTGATATATTTTTCTTATTATTGAGCAATATTTTCTCCAGTATTCCTGTCTTTATTTTACATTTCTTTTATCCTTATGTGTTTCCCTTCCTTCTCTCTCTCTCTCTAGTATATTTTTAATGGTATTTGTTGCTTCTGTTGCTTAAAAAGAAACCCATGAGTTTAATTTTATTCCCCCTTTTTATAATTATGTGATTTTGCTTTGAACCTTCCCATTACTGGAAAATATTTTTTCTAACCTATAACCCCTTTTTCCTCAATTACATTTTCCATTCTTTTACTTCTGTTTTGTTTTCATCCTTTATTTTCCCCCATTCCTGTTCTTCAGTTACTTCATTCATTTACAACTTCCATATTCTAAAAAAAACCTTTAATTTCAGGGAGTATTCTGTGTTAATTTTCACATTATCTGGTTAATGATCAGTGGTGATGAGTTAGTAGGCTTTAAACTATTTAAGCATAGGTGTGTCTTGTACATTTTGATAGTTTCCATAAAAGTTCGTTTTCTAAGCAGTGAGTGGAGTTGAGCACTGAACCCTCAGAAACAGGATGATCACTAAGAATATCCCCAACAATGCTGGTAAAGTTATGCAACCCACCAATAGACAATCCTATCACAAAAAAAACATAAGAAATATGAAAAATCAGAGCAAAATGGCTTCTCTAAACAATGATGACTCTTCAACTACTGAAATCAAAGATATGTAAAATAGGTAAAATGGGGAATGATGATTTCAGGAATTTACTAGTAAAATTGATCTACACATTTTCAAAGGCTCAAACAATCAGAAAAGGGAATATCAAGGATGAAAAACAAAGCTGACAAAATTTTACATTTAGATATCACTAAGGTATATAACGAGCATCCCAGAGCCATGAAATCAAGAGACTAAATCTGAGAATTCACACGACACAAAATGAAAGATAGGGAGGATCTACTCAATTCAATAAATTACAAAAAAATCTCACATCTAAAGACAAAAGGAGACATTCAAATGCTATAGACATTTAGAAACTCAAGCAACCATAACCAGAGGAGAACTTATCTGTGATACACTGTATTCAAAATATAATAAATACAAAGCAAAGGAACAAAATCAAAAGGGAAAATGTTAAACACATAATGATAATACTAGAGTTTTCATCAGTAAGTATACAAGCCAAGAAAACACAAAATGGTATGCTTCAAGCAGTGAAAATACTAACCCCCAATCAGCTATAACAAACAAAAGTATCTTTGAAAAGTGTTGCATAAATAAAGCCATTTCAAGATAAGCACAAACTAACATAGTTCGTAACAACTAAGTCAGCATTGCTGTAGATACATGTAGGGAATGCTGTGCACAGAAGAGAAAGTCTCAATCATAAGAGCAATGGAAAAATAAATTTCATTAGAGAAATTCATGAAGAAAGACACTTGGTTAGAATCTGTCATATGGAAATCACTCTGTAGTCCAGGCTGGCCTCAAACTTACAGAGATCTACCAGCCTCTGCCTCCTGAGTGCTGGGACTAAAGGTGTGCCCTACCACCGCCCAACTCAAAATTTAAATTCTTAAAGTTCAATGAAAATGAAAATTCAACTTATCAAACTTTTGTGATGCAGCTAAAGCATTTCTAGTCGAGAACTCTGTAAGTATGAGTGCTTATGTTAAAGCAACATAGATCTTCCCCAAAATAACTGTGCTGGTTAGGTTTCTAAGATTTATTTTTAAAGTAGGTGCCTGATTGTGTATCTGTGGATGGATATGCCCATGAGTATGGGTTCCAGAAGAGGCTATTCAATGGTATTGCATCCCCTGAAGTTGTAGTTACAAGTAATTGTGAGCCACCTGATGAAGGTAATAGCCCCTCATCAGGACCAGTAAGCACTGTTAACTTCTGAGCCATGCCTCCAGTGCCTGTAGTGATTAATTAGCTGTTAACTTTTCTAAATCCATAGTCACATGGGAAGAGATTCTTGGTGGGGAATTATCTAGATCAGTTTGGTCTGTGGCAGGTTTGTGGGGGGGGGTTGTCTCGATGGTTAATTCATGTGGAAAGACTTGGCCCACTGTGGGTGACACCAATCCCTAGGAAGTGGTTCCTGAACTATGAGACTGGAAGATGCTTTCTATCTGCTGTTGACTGTGGATGCTACGTGACTAGCTCCATCAGCTTCTGCCTTGCCTTATCTGAAATGATGTACTGTGACCAGGATTTGCAAGCTAAAGTCAATTATTTTGGCAAAGTAATAAAAATATCACCTTTCAATATTTTACATTCAATATTGTCCTACACTGTGTGTAAGTCTTACAACTCCTTAAAGGCTAGTTGACATTTGTTTTTCTTCTTTTCTCAATTGCTTTTCTTTCTTTTAATTATCATCTTACTACAAAATTAATATGAATGATACTATCCCAGTTTCACAATTCCCCATACTGTATTACATCAATATATATTCCCATCAATTTCTAAATGAATGACATTTTCTGGAATGAGAATCTTTCAGCAAGTGTGGGCAGCTTGGGCTAAGGTCCATGTCCCTTCGTAGTGCATTTTAAGCTGTGTGTCACATTCTTCAGATGTCTGTGTCTTCTTTTTCTAAATATAATTTTTTTTGCCATGGAGCTCCATGAAAGGGTAATAGAATTTTTTGAATTTTATTTCCATGTGCTCTGAAAAATCTAGAATAAGAATGTAGCCAGAATCATTTTACAGAGCTTATAATACTGGGTAGAAACAGAAGCTCCATTCATCTGAACACCTGGTGACTCATTAGGTTCCACTAACTGTGATTTTTAAAATGTTATTTCAACTACCATATACGGTAGCTGAGAGAGTTTCCTGTTGTGTTTTTCAGGAATGCTCAGTGCATCGTGGTGTCTGCATAAGACCACTATTCCAAACTGAATAAACAGGGAAGGTTTCCTTTTCCAGAGGAACCATAGTGACAGCCACATTCTAGAAATTTCTAAGCAAACCTGGGCTTGGGTTATAGTCACATTAACAACACACAATAGTATCAAGTCTTCATGAAATCCATGCATTTGAAATGCAGAAAACTGCAGTACAAAGCAGAGTTCCTGGCAACACCTTAGTTACAGTCATGAATCTTGAAAGCCTAGTGATTATTTAAGTTTTCTCCTATAGGCATCGGTACTTTACTGTAAGAGTCAAGTTGAGTCACCTAGTTTGAGTATTCATGTCTAACAAAAACACTGGAAAGTATTATTACACCATCTACCACAGTGACAACTGGAATGAATTCCCAATGGGAATTGTGGTATTTGTATAAAAAAACAACATGCCTCAGAAAAATCCCAACCAAGAGGATGTTTCATTTAGTATTTTGTGATAACAAGAGGAAAATTTGAAAATATTTTAACCTACACACTGACTTTAGAATGCACACACACACACACACACACACACACTTATACACACACATACATAGGCACACACAACAATAGTTGTAGAAGAGGTCATGAACTTGAGAGGGGAGGGGTTGGGCACTCAAGGAATTGAAGTATGAGAGACAGGGGTGGAAATCATGCAAATACAGTGAACCCATATACAAAATTCCAAAATAAAGAATATGAAATTCTTCTTACCTACACTTAAATCAAAGTATTACTTATAAGCCAAATAGTCCTCGGTATAGTTCTGATAGCAGTACTCATCTATTAATTTAAAGACTGACCATGTATGTTTGCATCACAAAGGAATTCTTCTAGATTTGACAACTTTCCACGCTTCCAAGAGTGCTTTCTCTTTGCCCTACACAAAGTGACCTCTCATTGGGTGGTTGTTAGAGCTTGCTTTAAATCTGTTCGAAGCCTATCAATGAACTACTTTAGAGTTTTGCTTTGCATTAATGCTCCCTCAAAGATGCCTGCCTCATGGTGTTCTTGCTCAGCTGACTTCTCTCTGGTTGCATCCTCTCTGTCATCCTACGAGTCATCATGAGGGGTTACTCTATTTATCTCTGGGCTTTCTAAAGAACTGTCTCAAGATTGGTGCCCGTACCCAAAGTAAACCTTCTCATTTCACAGCGCCAAGATGCTTCCACTGCAAGCCATCACACAGCAGCTTGCCACTCTAGGTCCTGTACTAAGCTGTGTGATAGCAAAAGTGGAAACCAGTATTTCTAGCAGCTACTGAGTATTCCGTTTAGTTACCTACTGTGCCAGGTAAGAACAGAATATGACATGAATATCTTTCCTAAGTGAATGTCCCACTGAGTGTGGAAAATAATAACCTTATTTCATAGGATTGCTAGGTGTCTTGTGTTAGTTATAGCACTATTTCTCGTGCCATGCCTTTCATGGCATAAGGAAAATCTCAGGAGCTCTGTGTCAGAGCACCTCTCTAGCAGAGGAAAGATACAACTTCCCACAGTGCATAGCTATTATTCCCACAGCTATATTTTTCATCCAAAGATTTGATCATACAAGGTAAATAATAGAGTGTATCTTTGTAAGTAGCCCGGCCCTAGTGCTAGCATTTTCTTTCCGTTGCTCTACTGGCTGAGAATTTATGCTTCTAAAGCTACCCTTAAGCTTCCAGAGGCCATGTTGATGTCCATTGTCACTGCTGCCACTGGAGGCTAGGATGAGATTGGTGGAGATCATATAGAGATGGCCATGGTCCATTCATTTGCCAGAAACCATGAGGAAGTCCATGACATGTGTTGCTACTGGTTGATATGGGCAAGGCATCTTCCGCTGCTGTGGTAGTAATGACTCCAGACCCTAACTGAGAATGAGAGACATTGAGGACTTTTGAGAAAACCTTTCATATGGCACCTGTTCTAGAAATAGT